CTTGGACCATTTATATCAGAACTGATTACTGCTTTAGCATTAAAATATATCATATTAAAATAGCCTATATATTATTATTATTATCATTATTATTACTGTCTCCTTACTGTACAAACTGTAAATAAATCTTTATTCCTGACTATGTGACGTCGCCATTAATGTGTTTCTAGTTAAAATATTATTGTTTTTTTTTTTGTTTTGTTTTTTTTAATTTTTTGGTAGATTGGCTTATGGGTTGATTTTGAAGGAGTAATTAAGTTAATGTTCTCCTAAGTGGATGTAATATGTAGAGATGCCATCTAGGCCATTTTCCTTCGTTTTGTTTTTTTTTAAAGTCTATATTTTGCTTTACAAAAACGTGAAAAAGCAGCTGTGACCAAGCTATCACGAGGTGAGTAGCATTGTAAGCATAATTAATAGCGATATACTTAAGTTTGTCTGTGTGTTTTTGTATGCAAGCGGGTCTGCTGCGGTCTGCTGACAGTCCAAAATGGCGGCGGTAGGACAAAACCATGGGAGAATATGTTGCTATGGGGCGTTCTATTGAGCTTCGCCTCTTGGTATCCATGCTCTTTGTTGAAGGTACCGAATGTGTCCGGGCTGCCAGATTTGTCCGGGGTCCCACTACTTTTGATGACGCGACATACTATCATTGGCTGAGTGGTGCGTAGACGAATGGCATTGGCTGAATGGCTGCATTTGAATGAGAGAGAAACAGCGTTATGCGAGAGGGGAAACAGCATTAGTGGCAGGATGGCGAACGAGTCAAAAAGGATGGAGAAGGATCGGGAAAATTTTGATTTCTATGTTGAATTGAGACACTATATTGAAAATAACATGTACCACCAACTTACCATCAACTCCGAGAAAGCAGAGAGCAGAAAAAGGGTGATTGGGAGGGAGTCGAAGCACTATCTGATGAAAGGTAAGTGAGGTAGCTTCTTGGAAAGCTATCTGGTAAAGGGAACGCTAACGTGGCTGTGTGAGGTGTATATGGGTAAAGAATATTAAATTAGCTTCCAAATTTAGCTTTCTGGAAAGCTAACGTGGCTGTGTGAGGTGTATATGGGTAAAGAATATTAAATTAGCTTCCAAATTTAGCTCTCTGGAAAGCTAACGTGGCTGTGTGAGGTGTGGTTCATGAATGAATGCATTTTTATTTTTATGTCAGACACCAAAAACGTCAGTGTACAGTACTTACAGAAGTAAGTGATATATTTCTTTTTTTGCTAAATGCACCTACTTACTGCACCTTTAATCGGAGGCTACACAATTTACACCAGAAATCAAATATAATCACATATGTTGTTTTTGTTCGTTAAATTATTCCCAGATGAGAGTGCGGAGGAGACCGGAGAGGAGAGCGGGGAGGAGGCAGTGCCGTCAAGTCGCCCTGCATCTGCCGGCGGGTGGACAGCTAAGAGTGGGCTGCAGTAGTCTCCCACTCACGGGGAGACAGCTCCATATGTCCCAGCAGCCAGGGGAGTGACGGAGGGGATTACCTGCTACGCCGCGGCGAGAATAACTGACATCGCCTCCACTTTGGATCTGTTTTTTACAGAGGAAATAA